CAAAGAGAAAGAAAAGCCTGGATGCTCACTTTCTTAGTTTTAAAAATAGGCTTTTGAAACTGACAGCAGAGGAAATCACTTGGGAGGAAAAGTTCCCGTTTTTCCAAAACCTGGGCTTGTGGTATCAGTCACCAAGGCCCTGAAGAATTAGGCGTCAAGCTTAGGTCACAGACCACAAAGTTGGAGGGTAAGGGGTTGTGTTTTCCTGCCCTCTGAGGAGATAAAGCTCCCTGGGACTGAGAGAGAAGGGGGGAGAGTCTGAGAGGAAGCGAGAGGTCGTTGCTAGTCCTTGTCTGGAGGAAGGGGCTTGCTCCTGCCCCACCCGCCCTGGCTGAGTCTTGAGGGGAAGGGAGATGGGAGACAGAACTCCCAGATCAAACTGAAAAACCAAAAGTAAGTAGAAGAGACCTGTGGCCACACACTCCCACCCCCATCATCACCAACCTCATGCAGCAACAGTAGAATAGAAATGGCATCTGGTCAACTCGGACCAAGAAGGCCAGAGACTTTCAACCGCCATGGGTTCAGGAGACCATCTGAAGTTTCCCCCTCTGCCCTGACTCTACTCCACCCAGGAAGTCTCCGCAGGTAGCTGACGGACGGCTGCTGGACCCGAGGAGCCCTGGCAATTCAGCCAAGACCAATACAAAGTAAACCTGGGAACTGATAAGCAGGGCCATCCTGGTGGACGCCAGACGGGACGGACGAGAGTGAGTCTGGACCACCAACACTGTGGAACAGGGTGAGCGCCACTCCCCCTAGAACACAGACACAAGTAGGGATGGAGAAAACAGGTAACTGACAGAGACTGATCTGAAATGACCGAGAAGAGCTTGAATTGACTAAGATTATGTTCCCCCCTTCAGCCCAGTGGGAATAGACACCAAGATACGGGCAGTAAGTATGCTCATTGTTCCTGGGACGTCATTGCTTCTAGGCCATCTCAGACATAGACAGATACAGACAGGCAGACACATGCATACATGAACTTATTTCTCTATTTTTTACCTACACTTAAAGGCATGAATTCACACTGATACTTCCAGTTCTGATCCAGCATCCCTGGATTTATTCTCGCTTTTCCTTGTCCCACATTTTCCCCTTTCTCTGGCAGTGAGAAACCTGTCTCTCATTGTCCACAATGTATTTCCTTATTAGGATACACACAAGAGTTTCAGAATTGTTAATTAAGAAAAAAAAACATTTTGAGGGGTTGTTTCTAAAATACAAAAAATTTTAAAAAGAGAGAAAGAAACAAGGAGAGAAAAGTAGAGCCCAAAACAGGCACTGAAGGATACCACGGATATAAAAACAGATCTTTCCAACAACTTAGCAAGAAGCCCAAGCTCACAGACGAGAATCTCTGGTTCCCGTTCCAGCAGGAAGAGAACCTCACATCTGAATGCTGGTTTCGCCGAACGTAAACATCTAAGCTCAAAATGGCTTTCCCTCACAAATTTGAAAACACTGATGAAATTGCCTTGCAGGGGCTTCTAGATTCATCCTCCGTATTTCTTACCTTCTCTCTCACAATTTCTTTCCTTTCCTTTCTGTTGTCCTTTCACTCCGCATGCTGGGACACCATCCCAGGTTTTATTTTCAACGGTGTCTTTTCAATGATTTTATCCATGTTGACTTTTTATATCAGCGTGCTCATTTCAAGATCTTTAATGGTTCCTTTTCATATCAGTCTGTAAGATGTTTTGTGAATGTTGTTTCTCATCTAATAACTCTTAAAATTCGAGTTGTATTTATTTTATTCTATTTTTAGAGGAGGTACTGGGGATTGAACCCAGGACCTCGTGCATGCTAAGCACACGTTCTACCACTGAGCTACTACCCTCGTCCTATATTTATTCTAAAGTCTTGCTCTCCCACAGTTCCTACTTCTCTGTTTCCTTGTGTGTTAGCTTTCAGTTTAGTCAAGTTGTTCCCTACTTTTTGATGTTATTTCCCAAATATTTTTCTGATTTCTGAAGGTGTGCTTACCTTTCAATTGACAAAAAGAATAACCTAGGAGCTCCAAGAAATTTTTTTAAAAATGTAAAACCAGACACCCACATAAGAAAAAAATAATCATAGTATCATCCGACTTCTTAACAACACTGAATATCAGAAGATGAAGAAGCAACGTCTATAAAGTTTTGAGGGAAAATTACGTAGAATCTAGACTTCTATCTCTAGTCCAACCTACAAAGAAAACCAGTACCATAAAAGTAAAGCCCCAAGCTCGTGAAAGAGAAAATTAACCCTTCAAGAATTATAGGTAGTTAAGGAAGCAAAAGAAAATGCTAAAATTGTGTAATTAATAGTTTCAGAAATATTCAATAAGAAATCACACACATTAAAAAATCCTGTTAAGAAAAATAATTACTTGGAAATTCACAAACCATGTTCACTATGATTTAAGATAATATATGGACAGCATTGCATCATGGAGCTGATGTCTGAAACATCAAGCTGAGCGACTCCCAGAATGAATCATAAAAGGACAAAAAGATTAAAATTCTTAGGTAAACAAAGTTTCAGAGAAGTAGAGAATAAACACAGAATTTCCACAACTTGCCTATCAGTAGTTCTGGAAAAAAGGAACACAGAGAATGAAGGGGATAAAACAATAAAAGAAATAAAACGGGAAAAACTTTCCCCACAGCAAGGAAACATAAGTCTATGAATAGCCAGACTATGCATAAAGTGTAATAAAATAAAGTTACTTTTCAGACATTCAAGGATTCAAAAAATTGACCTTTCATTCTTTGAAAAAAAAGAAAGCATTCATTCATGAAAAACAAAATCAGAAAAAGAGGAAAACACAGAATCCAAAATACAATGGAGCCAACCAAGGAATACACGAGAGGGAAACCCCTGGACATTCGTGCAGCAGGTCCAGGAAGCAACTAGTTTATATCTAAGCTGGACGCTGGAGGGCTCCAGGTGAGACGTTTTGGAAAGAAGACTCCACTCAGCAGTTAGAAAATACGGTTACACTTAAGGAAATCATGAAGACATGCTTCTTAGGTTATGGAGAAAAGAAAAAAAAAAGGAATGGCAACTAGAAGTTCCAGAACCAAAAAAAAAAAAAGCTGCATAAGAAAGTGAGGGTCCAAATACCCAGAAGTAAGCCATCCTAAGTGTGAAGTGATTTTGAGCAACTGACAGAGTCTAAGAAAAGAGAATCCCCTTCATTCTGATACCCTGGAGCACCTACCTTTAAGCACACAGCTTTAGCGACATACGATCGTATTTTCCTTTCTAGAAGTCCAATCATATAACTTCTCTCTGCAATGAAAGGAGTTTATATTATCATGATATATACAATATCATCATAATAAGTAGTGTTTACACATTTTCAATTTCTATACCAAACCTATTAGCAAAATGTAAATGTTATGAACCTTGCAATGCACGGAAGTTGGGAGGCAGAGGAAAGTGAAAAACATAGGATATTTCTACATCTTTGATAGTATCAAAAGATATTGTCTAAATGCAACAAGAAATTAAAGTTTATAGATCTTACTTACCTTATAGGAATAATTGTTAGAACTACAAATAATAAAGTAGCTAGTTAAATTTGGAGGTGGGAGTTTTAAGTAAGACCATTCCTTAACTTTCAGGTCATTCTTTTTTGTGGGGAGGAGGGTGGTTAGGTTTATTTATTTATTTACTTACTTATCTTTAGTGGAGGTGCTGGGGATTGAACCCAGGGCCTCACGCATGCTAGGCATGCGCTCTACCACTGAGCTATAACCTTTCCCGCCCCCAATTCTTAACTTTCAAAATAGAGCTTCAGTAAATCCTGTCTCTATATGATAAATTTAAAAAGTGAAAGTATAAAAATATCATTTGTTATGAAAGTAACAAGCAGAAAAATTAAAAAGAGAAATGCTTAAAAAGTAGGTTACCCTGAGGAGTGGAATGAGGGGTGGGAAGTCTGGAAAAAGTCTTGCCTTTCATGTTATGCCTTTCTGTACTGCTTAGCTTCCCCCCCCCCATATCTGCACTCTAATTTAGTAATGATTTTTTAATGTGTTAAAATATTAGGGCAACCACTGAAGAACAGAATAGGATCTATAACTTCCAAAACCCAATATGGAAAAAAATGAACCAAAGAAACTCAATGCAATGATATGCAGGCAAGTAGGGGAGGGGGGACAAAGAACAAGGTAGGACTGTAAACAGAAAACATAAAATATGATGGGGGGGAAAAAGACACAAAACTCTTAAAAGGCAAATGGATCAGAAGGTAAATCTACTGTATTAAAGGAGAGAAACATATTCATTTCAGAAATCAATTTACAAAAGGTTTGGATCCATTATATATGTCATGTTAACAGCAATAATTCAAATTGTAAATTCAGGGAGGCCCTTAGGAGAGAAAGACATGAGAAGAAGAGAGAACAGAGGGTTGTACATTCTTAGGGTCCCAGGAATGAGATGAGCCAATACCACAGCTGAATCCAGCCAGGTGCAGCCAGGGGTCCAGCTGTGACTGAACGAGGCCAAGGCCATGTCTGACCACTCAGACAGTGTTATGGGCTGAACTGTGGGCCCTCCAAATCCATATGTTCAAGTCCTAACCCCCAGTACCTCAGAATATGACTGTATTTGGAGCCAGGGTCTTTTACGAGATGATTAAGACGATAAACATCAAGGTGGACCCTAATCCAACGTGACTGGTGTCCTTCCCAGAAGAAAGAAGACCATGTGAGGACACAGGGAGAAGACGGCCACCCACGGGCAAAGAGAGAGGCTTCAGACGAAACCAACCCTGCTGACACCTTGATCTCAGACCTCTAGCCTCCAGAACGTGAGAAAATAACTTTGTTGTTCAAGCCCCACACTGTGTGGCAGGCTGTTACGGCAGCCCTAGGAAACTAGTAACAGAGGGTCCCTTTCCTCGATGATGACGTTATAATCAGAAAATGCACATGCCCATGAAATGGACAGAATAAGCAGCAATTACAGGCAGAACAGCCAGCCCCACCCTGGCAGGAGGCCTGGGCAGGGGTGGGGAGGTTCTGTGCAGTTAGCACAGGATAAGAGGGAGAGATGGGCTTGAGATGCAAACTCAAGGAACTGGGCTGAAGCTGGGAGCTCGGGAAACTCTTGGCTACTGCAGCTCTACTCTGTCTTTCAGTGACATGGTCATAATTTAGGTAGAAAATGTTGGTAAATCCATGTCACCTAATTCGTTTATCTGACAACCAGTGATTAGTGGAAGGAGAGACCCACACACATAAAAGCAGGGTTCGTTCGCCTGACAGCTTCATGGACCAGCTTACTAGGGTCAGAGAGCCATCTGCCTTTGTTTGTTTTTCTCATCCTTTGCTGCTACCAAGAAAGACTGGGCCTAATTAAAGAAATTAGGATACAGAAAAGGGAGTCAACAAAGTCCATCAACAATCGCCAATTAAAAGACAAAGACTCAAAGGAAGGATGGGCAAAAAGATCAATGGCAGAGAATAGCGTCCAGGAAGATGCACACCTACTCAATCCACTTACTTTCAACAAAGGTGCCAAGTCAGTGCAGTGAAGAAAGAGAAGAATTTTTAACAAATGATGCTGGAACAATTAGAAAAAATAAAAATAAAAGAACCTCCACCTTTGCCTCGCTCCATACACACACATGAATTTGAAATGGACCATCAACAGACATGCAAAAGGCTCAAAGCCCCATTTTTTTTTTAAGGGAAAACCACTTAAACAGAAAGTTCACGTGCCAGCAAGCACAGGAAAAGGTGCTCGATGCCATTAGTCATCAGGGAAATGCAAAAGACAGAGACACTTTGTTTCTGTGTCCTGTTACCCAACTATGAGCTGTACGTTCCTGAAGCAAAAATAACTCCCTTAAAAACATGTAGGAAATGAAAGGGATGGAAAATCAGCACTGTCATTCATCGTTAAGAATGTAATCGGCACAGCTTTTTGGAGAGCAATTCGGCAGAACTTAACATCATTTTATGCAGTAATCTTTGACCCAGTGATATCAATTGTAGGGATAATCTAAAGAAAACTCACCCCTATGCACAAAGATGCATAAGCAGACCTATTTATTGCAGATTTGTTTGGAAGAGTGAAAATCTAGAAACTCTGTAAAATGCCCTTTAATATGGGAAAGGTTAAGTAAGTTATGGTGAAACCATTATTCATATGATAAATGCGACTGTTAAAATCACAGGGTAGATTTCTATATCCTGACACAGAGAGATCTCCAAGGTATACAGATTTATTGCTAAGTAAAAAGGAGGTCACCGAACAGTGTAAATGGTTCTATTCACATATTAAAGAATTACGTCTTTATAAAGATGCGCATTTTATAATAAAGGCAAAGGTAAACTTCTAGCAAGATACACATGGAAATGTAACAGTGTCCACCTCTGTGCACAAGGAGTGAGGAAACCTTTCATCACTTTTACTCTTTCTATGTTATGTGAATTGTTTATAGCCAAGATGATTTGTTTGTTACCTATGTAATTAAAATAAAGTACTAAAAACTGCTTTTTAAAGTACTGAATATTAATTATTAATGGAACTAACACAAGGTTATGCCCCACGCTCTGTACTAAGAAAACCTTACATATATTATCTCATTTAACCCCACACAATGGGCACTGATAAGCATTTTCTATTACATGAGGAAGTTGAAGCTTAGAAAGTTTGTTAGTGGGGCAGCAGCACCTTCAAATCATCTGAGGAGTGATTCTGAAAAAAATTTGATCATTGGACCTTGTCTCAAATCTACAGAATCAGGATCTCTGTGGGTAGGGTCCAAGATTTGTATTTTACAGTCAGAGCTCCCAAGGTGACTCTAGTGTGCAGTCAGGGCTGAGAACCAATGATTGACATTGATTCTCATTGCGAGGTCACAGCGCTTGTAAATGGTATGGCAGAGGCCAGGATTCAGAGCTGGACTGCCACTTCATACACACTGACAGAGACGGAGATAGAGACAGAGAAAGAGACGACATAGACATGGGCAAAAACATACATGCTGAATTTCTTCAACTACTGATGAAGATCATCTCAAGCATAAAAGGGACCGTGCACTGTTTCTTCCTCTTACTCCTTCCAGTAACCCTTCCTCTGTATCCGTCTCCTGCAGTGGTCCCTGAAACTCCCAGGGGCAGATGCTTCAAATGGTTAACAGCACAGGCCCTGACCAATCAGAACAGACCCTGGACTCCACACGGGAGCAGGAGTCAGGCTTTCCCCTTTTGATCACTGGATCCTGAAGGGGTGGGGGCTCCCCAGGGAGAGCAGGTGGGATGCCACCAAACAAGCTCAAGACAGCAGCTGTTCACTAACGGGTATGGAAACAGTCCAGTATTTTGCTAACTAGTACGGTAGTGCCAGTGTCTGCCTGTACCTAGGCTGAGGTCAGAGGGGTTTTTTTGTTTGCTTGTTCGTTTTTGAATGTTTTTTAAAGGTCGCTCTAAGACAATCTGCCGGTCAGGCAACTATTTTATGTCTCTACCTAGAGACTGCTTGTTGAGTGTCAGGATGAAAAGGAAGGGGCTGGCATGCAATCTGTGACCCACATCGGGCTGCCCCACCAGCTGCTGTGTGCCTAGCAGCCCCTGTTCCCTGGCCGACTCATTCCCAGCTCCAAGGGGGTTTGTCACTTTGCTGGTTATTGCTATGTTTCCATCCTGAAGTGGCAGCTCCAGTTGTGTTTCCCAGATAATTTCCAAGATGCTAATTGCCACCTGCTGACTTCCTGTAAACACTGCACTTTACATATGTGATTAATCAGAGAGCTGTGGATTGTTCTGAAGAAGAGACTGTGTTTGTGTGTGCGCGCGCACGCACGCGTGCGTTTCATTACCGTGGCCGATATAAATCACAGGCAATGTTTGCTCACAAAGCTGCAGCAAAACGGCAAGGAAAACAAAATTACAAAATACCATAAACTGCAAGTTCATAGACTGTAGAAACAACAACCTGAGTCAGCCGACAATTCACTGACTGAATTCTACAACTGAGCACAAGGAAGGTAGCCTCTCCAAAGGAGACTTTGAATCATAGGTGCTTCTGTTTCTTGGAGACACCAAACCTGACAACACTTTCAAAGATTTGGAGGAAAGTCCATTCTCTTTAGATTCAGGATCAACCTGTGCCAAATCCCAGCTCTTTCAGTGATTATCTGGGAGATCTGTGCAAATTACCTGGACCTTCAGCCCTTTAATTCCTCATCTGTAAAATGGAGACAATAATTTCTTTTTTTTAACTGAAGTATAGTCAGTTTGCAGTGTGAGATGATAATTCCCAAGTCACCTGAGGTGACGTGTAAAATACTTATATCATATACTAGTCAGAACTGTATGGGTTGTAAGTGACAGAAATTTAATTCAAAGTGACTTCAGCAAAACAAGAAATGTACTGGCTCAAAACAGAAAAAAGACCAGGTCCTCAGGCTTCAGGTCTAGGACTTTAGAACTTCATGAGTCTTTCTAAGTGAAGTAAGCCAGAAAGAGAAAGAAAAATACCATATATCACTCATATGTAGAATCCAAAAAAAAAAAAGGACTATATCAACTCATCTACAAAACAAAAACGGACTCGCAGACGTAGTAAACAATCTATGGTTACCAGGGAAAGGGGTTGGAAAGGGATAAATTTGGGAGTCTGAGATTTACAAATATTAGCCACTATACATAAAAATAGATTTTAAAAAGTTTCTTCTGTGTAGCACAGGGAATTACGTTCAATATCTTATAATAACCTTTAATGAAAAAAATATGAAAACAAATAGATGTATGTATATGCATGACTGGGACATTGTGCTGCACACCAGAAACTGACACATTGTAACTGACAGTACTTCAATTTAAAAAAAAAAAAACGAACTCCATGACATGCTCTCCACTTTTCGGCCCTGCTTTCTCTGTCTGGACCTCATTTTCAGGTAGACTGTACTTAGGGCAAACTAGTAGACTAGACAACAGCTCCACAGATACATCTTATCTTCTCAGCAACCACAGAGAACTGGTGTAGATAGTACATCATTTGCGAGATGACCCACTAGCCCATTATCAGATCACACAGTTTGGGTAGGCAAGCGTCTACTCTCTTAGACCTACTCAAACCTCAAAGAAGCCTTTCCCTGATCAGACCTTATAAAGTAACCCCTGCCTAGTTAGTCTGTCCCATCATCCTATTTATTTTCTTCTTAGTATTTATAACAACCTCATAATTATCCTGGTTGCTTATATGTTTCCTTGTATATTATTTTTCTCCTTCTCCAATCTCCATCTAGAACCTAACATCTAGAATGTTAGCTCCTTAAGGGCAGGAATCATCTATGTCCTTTACCCTGGTGTCTTTAGCATTCAATACTTTACCTGAAACAGAATTAGTCTCTATATATGTGTTTAATGGATGAGTGGATGAACAGAAAAATTGACAGACCCTAGAAATCATTTTACTCAAGTCCCTGTATGCTGAGTCCTCTCTCAGCATACTATTTCCATAGCGGCTCTAGCCCAGGGGTCTATCTGGGAGAGACCTTCCTCCCAAAGGCACCGAGGTGCCCTCACCTTCCTAAAGAAATGGACACACTTTCCATTGCCTTCATTATAAAGTCCAAATTCCCTCCAGCTTGTGTGCACAGCTTCATCTTCCACCACGTCCTTGCCCAACACTAAGTTCACAGCATACTCAACTTCATACCATTACATGAAAATACCACTTGTGCTCATGATGTTACTTCTCCTTGGAATGGTCTTCTATCCTTTCCTGCTAAACAGGAAGCTATGAAGCTTTTCCTGGTGGCAGAGGGGCTATGCTCTGTACTGTCACAGGCCTTCATGCATCCCCCTCCCACAACACTTATTCTAATACGTAACAATTCAATGACTCTTTTTTCCTCACTTTACTGTTCATATTTTGAGTAAAAGGGTTAAGTCTAATGTCCCTGTCTATCCCACTAGTGCCTGGCATGATGCTTCATAGAGATGCAGCAAAAAAAATTGTTGACTATTATATATGCATATCAAGAAATACTTGAGAATTTTTCATTATTGTGTTGCTCAATGGAGTGCAAGGAACTGAAACATTTTAACAGCTGGGTTATTCTGTCAACTATCTGACCATCATTGCGAACAGTGGGAGAGGAAATTTTTAATTTGTGAAATGGACATTTACTTCAATTAGTTATAGTTTGGTTAAGAAATCACATTTGAAAACATTTATACTACGTCTGAAATAGACACACCAATACACATATACTCAATGTTTTTCACTTTTCACTTTCAGCTTGGATTTTTTTTTAACTGAGCATAAGCACTGATAGTATCTCTTGGAACTATTTAATGTTCACTTTTATGGTACATTAAATCCCATTGGCCAAAAGCAAGTTGTAGCTCCTCTGGTTGCTGGCCAAAGGCTGGTGGATCAGCACCATGGACAGAGGGAAAGGTCACTCCAAGGCTGCTTGTGAAATGGCACGTGTGATAGCAGATGCACCACCAAGGAGGGAAACAGTCCACTGGTGTGACTGCTCCTCTGGAGATCATGGGAAGAGTGCTATCAGGGTTTCGGTCAACTCAGAGGGTGGGTTCTTATGAAACTAACCACACCTCGAAGGTGTCTCTGAGTAGCATGATCTGCTTCATTTATTGACCTATATTGATTCACTACTTTATCAACAATCTACTCTTCTGTTCCCAAAGTGCCAACATTTTCATGCTGAAGTAAATGTAAATATCTAACTAGAAAATATGAAGGACTACTTGTTTTTTTTACCTGTCCAGCATCTATGACCTTTTTTCCTTTGCAAACCACCTTTCAAACAAATAGTCTGTTTAAAAAAGATGACACTAAGGAATTGTTGATGCTACTGGGAAAGGATTATGATGATACTGAAGTTTCATTTAAGATGGGAATCCCTGTCTTGTCGCAGTATGTTCCGACAGCTACAAAGGAAATATTTCATGTCTGAGATTTGCTTCAAAATAATCCAGGATCAGGGGAGTGAGTAGAGGTATAGAGAAGACAAGATAGGCCTTGAATGGCTAATTGTTAAAGCCATAACATGAGAACATGAGAGTCAATTCTCTCTACTCCTTTGTATGTTTGAAATTTTCCATTAAACATATACATATATGTGTGTCTGCTTGTGTTACTGACAGGCCACAAAAAAAAAATAAAAATAACAATGATTTCTGAATAGAGGTAAGAAACAGCAAGCTCTAGTACCCTCTGCTCCAAGAGGAGTTTTGAGGAGGCTGTGCTACAACCGTCTCATGCAGACTTGAGATTTTGTCTTGCTCAAGTCCATGTGATGGAATATTAAGTCCAGATGTGTAGGGATGTTCACTTTCTTTTGGAGCAAGATGTCTCAAGAGAGTGCTTTCTAAGAAATGAAACCTTTCATGTACCCCTCCTGACCAGAAGCAGCTGGGCACAGCCTGGAGCTGCAGGGACTGAGGCTGAGTGTAGGAAGGGGTACCTGGTTGTTGACGGTAGGCCCAAGGTCAACACCTGAAGTTCTAGGTCAGAACCAAAACAACAAAACATTGTTTAAAAATAAAATGGGCAAGATAAGCAGAGGAAATCAAGATATGATGCCAAGAACATAGGGAGGGGAGCTAAAATATGGAGAGGGTGGAGAGTTACAAAAGGAAGACGTACCTACATATTTGTTGGGGTGGTCAGGGAGGGCTTTTGGACGTTTTTCATGCAGAGACCATGACAGAAGCAAATAAGGAACCAACGTAGAGCCTGGTGGATAAAATAAGAAAGGGAATGTAAACGTGCTTCAAAATCTGTGGAACTGTGCACACGTAATTGTTCAGAGGTTCAGACAGCCAATGAGGCTGCCTGAGGGCCTACCATGAGTAAGTCACTGGTACAAAAGGGTTTAAAAAAAAAGTCCTGCTTCATGTAGCTAACATTGTAGCAGGGGAGAAAGATGTATTTGCCGATTATTTACAAGTGTGATCATTTCACCTGGCTTTTTTCTTTAGACAGAAGGCATGGCCTCCAGTTCACCGCAGCTTCCACCACTCCCCAGTCCCTATTGTCTTATACTCTGCCTATTCACTCACCTGTCACCTGCCTGAGCCCAGCAGCCTTTTGAGTTTGTGACCACTGCTCCCTAATGTCCCTGAGCTGCTGGTGACATTTACCTCTCCTAAAACCGCCCAATGGCTCAAGGGGCATATAAAAGACCCTATTCTTAGCTGAATCAGAATCATGGGTTGCCACTTAGTCTGAAGTAACCTTGAGCAGTTATGAGGTGTCAATATTCTTAACTCTAAAACGGACGTAATCTTATCTGCTTTACAGGATATCTGTGAGGACTAGACTTTGCCTGTTCAGCTCTTACTCCTCCTTTGGATCTCATTCCTAGTTTTACTTCTTCAAAGAAACTGTCCAAGGCCTCCTGACTAGGTCAACTCCCTCTAATATACACAGACTTTCAGCACCACGTTCCTCTTCTTGGCAGGTACCCGCCCCAGTTACAACTGTACATTAGTTTGTAGATTATTTGATTAACACCGGCCTCTCCTGCCAGACTGAAAAACTCAACAGTGGCAGAGAATGCTGTTTTTCTCACCACTTACCAAGTCTGGCAAAAACAAAACAAAACCCAGGTGCTCAATAAATATTGTAAAGGACAAAATAAAATAAAGTGCTTCATAGACAGCTGTGTAAAGACAACCTGTGGCATATACTTCATGTCCAATAGAGTCTCATCTAATGCCTCTTGGCTACTAGAGATTGCAAGTCAGGTTTTAACTAAGACTTTCTCTGAGAAAGAAAAGTCCCTAAGCTTTATTTTCTAATAGGCTATCAACACCCCCTCCTCCTAGAATAAGGATTTCCGTTTTGCCCACTGATAGGCCAAATGCGTAAAACTGCCTGGCACCTAATCGAAAACGGGATGGAAGGAGGGAGGGAAGGGTGGGCGGGCACAGCTCTGGAGTTTCACAGAAGTTGGGGAACGTGGACAGCTTCTCCCGCACCGCCAGGAGGGAGGAAGCTGGGGTCTGGTCGGAGGTGAATCAGGGATGACATCCCCTCCGAACACTTTCAGCCACACCGATTTCCCGGTGCCCCGGGTAGTAAACCCAAAGGAAAAGAGGGAGGCCCTCGCGCTGCCCCTCGGGGAACAGATAGGGACATTCACCGGTGCTCCCGCAAGGGACCTGCCAGTGCTGCGCGAAGCCTCTCCGCGGGGGCCGCCGTCCCGCCGAGGGTCACCGCCTGCGGAACACCCGCCAGCACGCGACCCAAACTTCGCTGAGAGGCAGAACCTTCCGCCTGGTCCCTCCGCCAGGCAAACGAGTCCCCACCCCGCGGCAGAAAGGACTGTGCGCCCCCTCCTCAGTCGTGCCCCACCACCTCAGAGACGTCTCCTCGCTTTCCAGACTGCCCCGTTGATTGAGGACGCCCACTCCCGTTTCTCACACTGTGCCCCCGTTTCTCACACTGTGCCCCCGTTTCTCACACTGTGCCTCCGTCTCTCGCAAAGTGCCTGCGCTGTGTCCCTCCGCCCCGAGGAAGCTCCACCGCGCCCCTCCTCATTCCTAAAGTGTCTCGGCGGCAAGCGACTATGCTGCGCGGTCTCGCGAGAGTCCGCCGCGCAAGCCCCCTCCTCCCAGCCCCTCGCCGGCGAGAAAGCTTCCCCTGAATCCCGCAGCGCGCGGGCGCGAGCGGCGCATGCGTGGTCGCGGCTCCCAGCGCCCCCCGCGCAGTCCCGGAGCTGAGCGGACGAGGCCGCGAGCGAGGAGCCGGCGGTCGGTCTCTGCGAGGCCTTGCTAGGTACCGCCGGTTTCTCTTCCTTCAGGGGCGGGACCGCTTCGCGGCCTTTCCTCAACGTGCGGAGGTTTCCTGAGGACGGCCGGGTCACCTTGGGCCGGAAGAGCCTGGAGCTGGCTTCGGACGACGCCGACCCCCCCTCCCAGCCAGCCACCCGCAGCGGCCTGGGCGCGCCGCGGTGCCTGGATCCTCGAACTTGGGGCCGGGCGGTGCCTGCACAGCCGGCTCCACCCACTGGGCCTCGCCTCCTGCCGCCCGACCCCGGGTGTCTGACACACCCCCTCCCGGCGCCCCCGCCCTTCTTTCCCTGGTCTCCTTGATTTTTTTCCAGTCCTCTACCTCGCTGTTTCCGACTTTGCATAAAAGATGCACCTTGGAAAACCACATCAGGGGGCCACATCTTGTTCGGAAAAGAGGCCAAGTTTGGGGACCTTAGGGTACACGTCCACATTTTCAAGGGCCTAGATAGGTTTGATTAACCAGCCCAGAGCACCCTGTTCTTGCTGACACTGCCATTTTCACCTCCCTACCTTCCCACACTTCCAAAACTATTAAAAGGGACTCTCGGAGGTTGGTTTACTTGAGTCCCTTTTGAGCTAGGCGTGAGGTTGGCCCCTGGGTTAGAGTATGGCTGCATCCCTGGACCCTCAGATCGACGCGCCCCTGGAGGTTGAGGGATGCCTAATAATGAAGGTGGAAAAAGAGCCCGAGTGGACATCGGAGCCCATTCTGGAAGGATCGGACAGCTCTGAGTCCGAGACCTTTCGCAAATGCTTCAGACAATTCTGTTACGAGGATGTGACCGGACCCCATGAAGCTTTCAGTAAACTCTGGGAACTTTGCTGCCGGTGGCTGAAGCCAGAAATGCGTTCCAAGGAGCAGATCCTGGAGCTGCTGGTGATTGAGCAGTTTCTCACCATTTTACCCGAGAAGATTCAGGCGTGGGCGCAGAAGCAGTATCCGGAAAGTGGAGAGGAGGCGGTGGCCCTGGTAATACATTTGGAAAAAGAGACTGGAAGACTAAGACAGCAGGTGAGAGAGGATTTTCCAAATTTTTATATTTAGCAAGAAGGGGAGGGAGAGGAGGATGGCCAGGGGATGCATTGCAGGAAATGCTCATTGTGAAGCGGTAAATGGTACTAATAAAAAGCCTTTATAAAGGGAATCTACTTAAAAAGGATTTGAATTTTTCATATTAAATAGGAAAAAAAAGCTTTGGCTGAAATATTATCTTGCAGTTGACACTAAACATGCATGTAAGTATTTGTTTTAAATCTTTGCATAATGTTTCTCCCAAAAATTACTTGAGAGAACAATGTTATGCTTTAGTGTTTGACTTTTACAGCTTGATCCTAAAGAGGGCTATTTTTGCTCCCCTCCCCTGCCAAAAGGAAAGAAGGACTTCATTAGTTATCCCAGGGCCCTCGGTAACTCTTTTAATATTCCAATCCGAGTCTCCCAAAGTGTTCTCAAGGTCATCATCCTTATCACTCTTCTTGGGTTTAATTGCTGATCCCATTTGTCAGTGGCCTTGCATGTTCTGCTAGTTGTTTTTCAACAGCCCTTTCATTAACTTCTTGAAATCCTGCAAGATTTGCATTTTCACCTTGCACAGGCTTTGCATTTGTGTAAAGCTCTGACTCTCAGCAGGTTGCTATGTTGCTCAGAGATAGACAGTAGATGTGGAGATTAATTTTCTAAGTTTTCAGTTCACTAGTGAATTAATTTGTATTGTGAGAACTTTCACTTTTCCGTGAACCTAATAGATGTGAGGGCGCAAGTAATGTCTCTTCTGATAACAGGGAGGCTCTGGATTTCACTCCTAACAGATTTTCCCTCCTCTGTATATTAATAAAAAGCACTCCCTTACGCCTTTATGTGCAGACTTCTGGACAGTACAATTCACCCTATGCCCTCAGAGGTCCCACTGGGAACGGAGTGAAATTTTCCTTCCTTTTCCCATCTTCTATCCTTCTTTGGTGTCTTTCTTGGGGGACTCTGGCCCTGATCTGGCCCTCTTTTCCTCCCTCTTTCCATTATGGCATTGGCTTTATTTCCCAGGTTAGCAGTCCTGTGCACTTAGAGAAGCAAGCCGCACGAGGAGCAGCATGGGAGGTGGCCAGCTTTCAGCCACGGCAGGCGGAGCCCCAACCCAGAGTAGTGTCTCGGGAGGATGCTGAAAGCCTCCACTTGGAACGCCGGGAACAGCTGAACCAAAAGAGAGAGCTGCAGCCCTTACCCAAGAATGGTAAGAAGAAGAACTCGGAGCATGCCCAGTGCAGAGACCGTGGCATACTGGTTTTGTAGCCCTAACACTCTGACTTGTATTGGTCCCCTCAATACATATTTGAAGATAATTTGAATGTTTGGGGAGGAAAGACTTCATTAGCTAGCTTCAGGAGTTGGGAATATGTGTGCCTTAAGTTAAAGGGATCTTAAGGAATCTGAGAAAATTTAGATTCCCCAGGCTGGCCTTAGGGTCTTGTGTTATCTAAGAATCTCCATCTCTACAATCAGCTTGTGGTTTTTAGGCCTGCCACATGTGTAAGTGTATGTGTTCTTGACTGACTATAAACAACCTGGAAAAAACTGGAAGAGGAAACAAAGCATTTATTTTCAAAAAGTGACTCAGTAAGGCATCACAGAAGGGGCATGTGAGAGAGAGAAACAATGAGACTTCACAGAGAAGGGACCACTGATGTTCGTAGCTCTCTAGGCATTAATGAGTCAAGCCAAATACAAAGTAAAGACCCTACCCTTCCCAGTCCGCAGGATGGCTCCAGCCCCTGCAGTGTGGTGTAAGGCTTAAAAAGAGGAGTGGAAAGATCACTGAAGGTACAATAAAAAGGCATCAGTTTATATCCTTCCTCTGCCCCTCTATGTGCTCTTGGGCAAGTAATATTAATTAACTCACCTCTATGTCTTAATGCGTGGAGATTAAGTGATTAGGCTTTAGAGGCAAACAACCTGGGTTCAAAACCTAGCTCTGTCATTCTTTATCCGTGTGGCCTTGGTCAGGTTACTTAAGTTCTCAAACTTTCCATTCTGTTACCTGTGAAAGGCAAATAATGAGGTTGTCAGTGTAGATTAAAGGAAGCAACATGAAAGCATCCATGCATAATAGTGCTCAATAGATAACTAGTTTCCTTTCTCCTGAAATGGCATGGTTATTTTTTAACTTCAAACCTGTCAGACTTACTACACTGAATTTCTTCCAAAAGAAGACCTAGGATTTCAGCCATGTGTGCCTAAGGGAGTGATATGTTTCCAAGGAGGTGATCCAGTTTGCTTCCGTACAAAGTAATGGAGCAGGTTTTTGAGTTCTTGGTCACAGTAATACTCATTCTTGAAGTTTTCCTAGATAGCTCTAGAGTAGAAGTTAGCCCACGGATTGTCTTACACTGTACGTTTATATGTCTTCCGTCCCCCCTTCCAGGGGCATATTTGCCTGTAGTGTTCAGTGCTATATATCTGTATATGCTAACTTTTTTAGGACAGTATTCACTCATAGGGGATTAATTTATGCTAAAGATTGCAAACTGGTAACTCACTCCAAGTCAGACTTGTTTTGTTTCATCTGTAAAGAGTTTGTTTAGGGGTTTTGTTTGTTTGTTTTTAGCTCTCAAGGTTTAAGACTTTTGAAATTGTACATAAAAGTCCATATTTCTGGCTTCTCTTGAAGAAAGGAGAAGGTCTGATAATACTAAGGCCACAGTGTCACAGTGAAGCATCAGCTGGAGCTGAACATTGGCTGTACCCTTTCAGTGGGACGTGCTCTCCGGTTCCCCCACAGTCCTTACCTCTCCGCTTCCGTCATGTCCTTTACCTGCTTACTTCCAAAAAGCATTTGCATTTGTGAGCCCTGCTTTAGTTTTTGGTTTTTGGCATTGTTCTGAACTCATTGAGAAAATGACCAATTTCCATTTGTTGGGTTTTTATACACGCTCATTTCATAAAGGGAGAAGCAGCATGAATAAAAGGGCCAGAGCCCACAACGCTGTTTCTTTCTTTTCTTACAGCCCGGCCTTCTCCCTGGGTTCCTGCTCCAGCTCATGAATGGAGCACCACGGATCAGGAAGTGACCACACGACTTCCTATTGGGTCGCAGGTAAACTGTAGCTGTTCTCTCTGGCTTCCTTCCTAGGTTATTCAGTCACAGTGACTGCCTGTGCCCCCACTGTCCTCAAACTTGTGGACTCCCTCCAGGAGGCTTCTTTCCCCTTACTCCTTTTCCAGAAAAGACTGGACCCAGCCTTCTGAGTAATGGGACTCCTGGCTGGGTCACCTCCCTTGTGATTCTTCATAGTACCTTCTGCTTCATTTGGCGCAAAATAAACACTTGGTTCTTCGATTTCAATCTTCATTTCGGGCCTTTCTGTGCTTCACCCGCGGTCGTTCATCCTTCAGAGACCCATGTGGTTATCCTGGTAGTCATGACTGTTTGTGTTTTACAGGGGCCAGTGAAAGATGTCCGCGTGGCAAGAGGTTTTTCCTACAAAAAGAGTGTGCATCAGATTCCTGCTCCCAGAGACCTCTACCAGGATGTTAGAAAGGAGAGTGTTGGGAACACGGTCTCCCTGGGTAAGGATTCTGTCCTTTTTCAGGTAAAAGTTTGGGGATTTCTAATGTAGTCATTTCTCCTGATAGTTATAAAATAGCTATAAATGTTATCACTTAAAGGACCTACATGGGTTGTCTGATCATTTCTGTAATCTAGAACACCATGTTCTCTTACCTCACTCATTCCCTTCTTCCAATTTATATTATACGTTTATATATATTCT